CTTCCTCACCCCAACCCGAAAACCGCAAAGACGGTACCGTGGCTGTGAAGGAGTCCAAGGAGAAGGCAACGGAAAACAACAACAATCTGAGCGTAGGGTCTTCTCAGGAGGTTATGTCTGAAAGGACTAGTGAGAACCCTAGTCCTGGATCTGGTGCTGTCCGAACAGGTACATCGATGACGATGATTTACCCATCAAAATCTAATAGGATCTACACTTGTCAGTTTTGCAGTAAAGGGTTCTCAACCACTCAAGCCCTAGGTGGTCACCAGAACGCTCACAAGCAAGATCGTGAGTGGGAAAAGAAGAGGAAGGAGATGGAGGAAGACTTCCCGGGACTCTCCTTTTTGAACCCTTACATAAACAAGCCACACTTGCTCCTAGGTGGGTATTCAGAAGATGCTTTATCAAATGATAATCATCTTGGGATCACTCTTGAACCTTACAGACGTAGAGGACACGGTGTTTACCCAACATTCAGTGGCGGACACGGGAGGCCCATGAACATGACTGTTGTTCCTCGCATGAATCCTACTCGCTTCTTCACAGGGAACACTTTAACCTATGGTTCTCCGTCTGCAGGGGGACGTGGGCCCAGACCCCCATATACCCCGATACTCCCTAGGAATGTTCCTCCTTCTTTTCCTCCTCGAACCAGGAGTTTGTATCCGCAAGAGAACCGTCTGAGCGACGAGGATCTCACCTTAAAGATAGGGAATGACAAGATTGTGGTGATTGATGATGATGATGATGATCAGCCAGAAAAAGAGAACCCTAAAAACTGGGGCTCTGATTTGTCCCTTTGAGTATTGTTTAATTTTCATTTTTTGAGGTATCGTCGTGCCTATTGGATACCTCTCTTTCCGTCCACATCTCTATCTCTGAAGGTTGTTTCTCTTTTTTTTTTTTTTTTTTTTTTTTAATTTTCTTGTATCTCGTTTCAAATGTTCCTATTGTCTGTAGTATCTCTTCTTCTATTCACATGTAATTGTGTTTTGGTTGATTTACTTAATAAATCTGAACTATTTTCATTCCTATTTTTGTTTTTTACATCTCATCATTTTTAGGAGACTGACAACATAAACAAGCTATCCAAATATATATGCTTGATTAACTTAGTCATTTATTAGTAATCGGGTTGAATTTGTGAAAACTCGTGAAGAAATCTGAGTTTCAGGATGGAATGATACATATTACGTACATGGCACGCACTATAGACAAATATATTTGCTATAAAAATAAAGGGAAATGCATCAGATGAATATTTTATTGCAATTCCTTTGTACATGCTAGGGCTGGGCAAAAAAAACCGAACCCGAAAATCCGAACCGAATCCGACCCGATAAAAAGGAACCCGAACCGATCCGAACCCGACATAAGTACCGAATGGATCTTGTTTTACGGTATTTCGGGTTATGGGTATTACCCGAACCGAACCCGAACTTAAATGGATATCCGAAAGAACCCGAAACTTTAAAATTCCAAAATAGCTTGTATCATATACAATCTAAATTTCTAATATGTTTCCAAAACAGATTAATATATTATTGAGTACCTACAATAATTAGTTATGATATAAATAATTAACTCAAATATTTAGTCTATCATATAGTGTTATTTGGTTAACATTAATGTTTATGATTGACATTACATTTGAAGTTAAGTTACGAATAAATTTGTTTTGAAGTTTATATAATGTTGTNCAATCTAAATTTCTAATATGTTTCCAAAACAGATTAATATATTATTGAGTACCTACAATAATTAGTTATGATATAAATAATTAACTCAAATATTTAGTCTATCATATAGTGTTATTTGGTTAACATTAATGTTTATGATTGACATTACATTTGAAGTTAAGTTACGAATAAATTTGTTTTGAAGTTTATATAATGTTGTTTTTAAAAGTTTAAATAGCACTTCTTATGTTTATAGAATTGTTAGTTGTTAACTTTAATTTTTTATGTTTCATTATGTATTATATTTCGTTCATACAAAGCTTTGGTTTGTCATTAATCATGATATGTTTAGTGTTGTCACATATAGTTCATTGACAAATCTTATATGGTTGATAGATGAGTTTCACAATATTATTTTGAAGGAGAACAATATAGTTTGTAGAAGCTAAATACACAAATTTAATAAAATGATTGAAAATATAGTGAGTTTAATTGAGTATAAATTAGTATTTTTAGAACCGATAACCCGATTAGTATCCGAAACCGAAACTATTTCGGGTTCAACCGGATCTTGGACATGTTACTAAACCCGAACCGAATCCGACTAAACCCGAACCGAATCCGACCCGAATTTTTATAATATCCGAATGGGGCTGAAATTCATGAACCCGAAAACCCGAGACCCGAATGAACCCGAACCGAAACCCGATTGGGACCCCGATTGCCCAGCCCTAGTACATGCAAATGAGAAAAATATTCCTATAAATTTAGGGATGAATAAACAATATCTTTCCATAACAGTGAAAGATTCTAGTTTGATTAATTAGCTTAAATAATTATAATTATATTTTGAGATATGGATTCAAAATAAATTCTGATTTTAAAAAAAATTTACACCCTGGAGATTTTCTACCATAAATGGAGGTTATAATAGTGTCATCACTTCTCAGAATATAAGCACAAACAGAAAGGTTCACTTCACAATCCGAAAAATAAACTAAAGAAGAAGATTTTGTAATGGAGGAGAACCACGTTATGTCTTTTGCAAGCTCTTCCGCACCACAACCCGAAATCTTTGAAAGCATTATCTTGGCTGTGGAGGGGTCCAAGGAGAAGGCAACGGAGAACAACAATCTTGAGCAAGAGAATCCACTGAGCGAAGAGAACAAGGTTGTGGTGACTGAAGAAGAAGACAATGATGATGATGATGATGATGATGATGATGATGATGAGCTAGAAGAAGGTGGTGGTACCCTTCTCTCTGTAGGTTGTTTGACTCTTTATCGTTTTATTCTTTATCGATTTAAACGTACCTATGTCTGTAGCTTCCTCGTTAGATTGATTGATTCCTTTTGATCTTCTTTTCCTGTTTCCATCTCTCTCTATATATATATTGTAGAAGCTGGAAAACCAGATCGACATAAACGATATAAGAAAGACGGAGTTAAGGAAATAGACGATTATATAAGACTTGTAGGCGACATAAATCTCTTTCCTTAACTCTTAATATTCGCTCCTTAGTGAGACGAAACTGTACAAATATCGAGTCCCATGATAAAAAGATGCTCATAAAAATTAAGGTCAAGGAGAAGAAAGATCTCATTGGAATTTAAGAAGTGCTAACAAAATATTTCAAACTTAGGAGGGAGAATGTGATCTAATCTATTAAAACATAGTCCTACTTTTTACCTACTACAAATAGTCTAGATTGCTCCATTTAATTTATGTAATTTTTAATATTTTGTATATAAAATTTTAGTTATAACTAAATATACATAATCTTAATATATTATTTAAATATTTTCAAAATAAGATATCAAAAGATATTACCAAATATCTTTTCTACTATTACATTTTGAAAAAATCTTTTAATATCTTTTTACTTAAAATATAGATATTTATTGTTGTAATATTTATTTTAATAATAGATTTGTAATTATTTTAAATTTTATTACAAATAATTATTAATTCATTTTGATTTATAAAATAAAAATTCCATTTCTATATTGTTTATATATACATAATTCATACCTAGTTAAGTTATAACAATAACGAATTTATATAACATAATTTAGTTACAATTATTTTATAAATTATAAATTAAAATAATTACATATGCATGATAACATATATTTATACAGTCAACACAACCTTTACCTGGAGTGGCTTCTCTCATCAGTTCAGATTCACGGAGTTGGAATATGCATGTTATCATGGGTTTGATAGATCCTCAGAATGCGAAACTTATAGAAAGCATTCAACTTGGCAGGTCACAAAGGGAATATAGGGATGGATGGAATTTCACCAAGAATGGTAAATATACGGTCAAGTCTGGGTATCAGGTGGAAAGAATATATCTGGACAAACAAAAACCACCTGTGGTTTTGAGACCCATAGTGGATAAACTGAAAGCGTTTTGTTGGAAGATTCGATGTCCCCCGAAAATAAAACATTTTTTGTGGTAATTAATATCGGGATGTGTAGCTGTAAGGAAAAATCTAAAAGTGAAAGGGATTCAAGGAGAGATAGGTTGTTCCAGATGTGGAGCGGAGGAAGAGTCGATTAACCATGTATTTTTTGAATGTCCTCCAGCGCGCCAAGTTTGGGCTTTATCGAAGATACCTTCCAACTCAGCAAATTTTCCCACATGCGCTTTTTTCACAAACATGGATCACTTATTGGCGGGTATTCCCAAAAATGGATGATCATTTATTTGCGTGGATATTATGGTATATATGGAAAGGGAGGAATAGTAAGACGTTCAGCAATTTGGAAATAAATCCCAGGGATACTCTCAAAGTTGCGGAGACTGAATCTATGCTCTGGACTGAGGCCCAGGTGAAAAAAATTCACTCCACTGAACAACACGGGGAGATAAGGAATACACCTTCCATATCAGGACGGTGGTGTTTCACAGATGGTTCGTGGAAAGACAAAGAAGTTTTCTCAGGTTAGGGTTGGTATAGTATTCTCGAAGGTTTTGTTGGCCTGATGGGAGTAAGGAATGTTCGAGCTAGCCTTTCGCCTCTACATGCTGAGGTGGAAGCGTTAATTTGGGCAATGGAGAGTATGAGGAATTTACGACAACTTCATGTCACTTTTGCTAAAAATTGTTCTCATTGGTGAAGATGGTTTCGAAACCAGAGGAATGGCCTGCTTTTGCAATCTATTTGGAGGATATCAAGACACTCAAGGAAAATTTCACAAGATCAGATATTATCTATGTCCCAAGGACACAACACACCAAGGCGGATAAGCTAGCACGTAGTGCTAGGAAACAATCGTCTTTCATCGTACACATGGATACAAAGTTACCAACTTGATTTACAGGGTCTATATGAGTCTGTAGTATGTTGATGTAAAAAAAAACATACATTTATACAGTTTACAACATATTTCAGTTTATTTATGGAAACTATTAAAATAAAATATTTAGAAGCATAAATAATTTTTATATTTAACATAATAGCTAAATTATCATATTAACATATAATTTAGTATATTTTCATTTAAATAAAATATTAAATTTAATGGAAATTAGTATTATTTGATTATATAGTATATTGAATTAATATATTACTAGATCTTGACCCGCACAACCGTGCGGGTATTTTAATACGAAAAATATTTGAAATTATATAATACTCACTCCGTTTTAAATAGATGATGTTTTATAAGATTTATTTTATTTCAAAATATAAGATGTTTTGAGATTTGAAGGTATATTTTGAGGTTTTAAAGTTATCTTTAAATTTATTGGAAACTATTCAACCGATAAAATTTTACTCTTTTTAATAATTTATTGAATTATTATAAAATTATATCTTTAAAAATACTTTTGTAAAAGAATGTAAATTTCTTAATTTTTGTGCTATGATCGAAAACATCATATATTAAGTAACGGAGGGAGTAAAATTTATCAATAAATAAATATAATTTGATTGTATATACTATCCAATTTTATAATAATATTTATGTAGCTTATAAAATTATTAATTTAAAATTTATAAATTTGTATTTTTGTAACAATTTTAAAAAACATTACTAATTTATATATTTTGTTTTATTTCTAAATTTTAAATATATAAAAATTAAATTGGACCTACATAATACATAAATAAAAT